ATAAAGAATTAAGTAGAGGGAATTATATTAAATGAAAATTCAATAGAGTGAAATGAAATCAAATTAAATTAATTATAATAAAAAGACTTAAATGGAATGAAATTCAATTAAGTTTAATATATATAAAATAATTTTAAATGATTGTAATATTATACATAATTATTATACGAAATAAAAAAATGCAAAAAGCTTACAATCTTAATTTGTAAAATATTGTTAAAATTAATACAACTTAAATTCTATTTATCTGCCTTATAAGAAAATAAATGTAAGAACTAGTAGTAATTAAAAATTAATAAAAAGCAAGTGTTTAAACTTTTTTATTGCTTTTTATACATTTTCTTCATTAATTTTATAATTAACATTTAATTTATGTATATTTATAAATAATGATGCATTTAATGTCAATCATTTAAGCACTTGTATTTCAAATCTAACTTTATTGCCAACACGTGGCTGTTGACTAACTATTTACAAAAGAGCTCAAACTAGTATGTAACTAGTTGTGAATTAGATTTTGTTAAAGTTAAAACTTGCACCGTATTCTTTATTCGCTATTTATTACTTCCAATTGAAGTTAGTCAAAGCTTTTGCCAAATGGGATTGGGATTTTTTTTCCACACACTGATTGTATTTTTGTAAATTTAGCAAACTTAACACATCCGCACTGTGTCGTGTCTACCTGTCAAAAACAGCGCTGGCAGACACTTTAACTGTTTTTAAATTAAATTTCATACAATAAATGTATAAGTTTTTAAATGAGCGTACAAATGTTTAATTATATACGTATATATATATATATATATATATATATATATATATATATGAATATGACACGTGGAACTCATTAATTTAGCAGAACTCAGCGCAATAGGATAGTGGTGAATGCAGTAATGAGGAAGAGTGTTGATTTTTTTTTTGTTTTTACCTACACAGTTATTTCCAATTATTTATAAAAACAAGTGCTGATTTAGAACTTCTCCAATTTACGGTGTAAATTGTCCATTTTTAAACTGTTTACCTTCTTAAATTCGTCGTTATACCACATAGTTCATTCAACTTGGCAAGAGAAGCGACATTGACGAAGGCAATGACAGAACTTTTACCATTCTCTTCACAGCACAATTTTATAAATATAAAATCATGATTGCTGATTGTTGCGAAAAACAGTTGCTTTATAAAATATTAGGTGTAGTAAGAAGTTCGTTCGGTTTTTATCTAAGATATGACGTTATTGTCCATAGTACTAGTGTTACGTATCGCATCATGTCATGCTACATGGCGCTGAAAACGTGTTTATTCGCGCTAAAAGTTTGTCTTTGACAGTTTTTCGATTGATTCACTAAGTACGTTGTGAGCGCTCTTCAAAGATGGACACCAGTAAAGAGAAAATCCGCTAAATTTTATAATTTTTCATCGAACAAGGGTAAATAGTAGCCAAAGCGAATGAAAAATTTAATTTAGTCTATAGGCCCGATACTGTAAACGAACGGGTAGCACATAAGTGGTTTGCTAGGTTCCGTTCCTCGATTTCGATGTCAAAGATGCACCACGCGTCGGGAGGCCTGTCGTCGAAAATTGCGATAAAATCAGGGAAATAGTGAAACAGACCGTCACGAGGGCACTGATTTAATTGCTGAGGAACTAAAGATAAGCCGTTTGGAACCATTTGCATAACCTTGGATTCAAATAGCTCAATTCAAGCTCGATGTTTGAGTGCCCAACGAACTAACGCAAAAAAACATGATGGACCGAATTTCCATCTGCAAATCGCTGCCGACCCGTTTCTGAAGCGGACTGTGACTGGCGATGAAAAGTGGGTCACTTATGACAACATCGAGCGTAAACGGTCTTGGTCAAAGCTCGGGGAAGCAGCCCAGACGGTGACCAAGACCAGATTGACGACCAGGAAGGTTTGGCTGTATATTTGGTGGGATTGGCAAGGAATCATCTACTACGAGCTGCTCCTCTATGGCCAAACGTTCTATTTGGCCGAATTGTGTTCCACAGAGGATAACGCCAGGCCACACACGTCTTTCGTGACGCACCAGAGGCTCCGGAAGCTCGGATGGGAGGTCCTAATGCACCCACCTTATAGTCCGGACCTGGCACCAAGTGATTACCATCTTTTCCTGTTCATGGCGAACGCGCTTAATGGTGAGAAGTTGAGCTCAAGAGAGGCTTGTGAAAATTGGCTCTACGACTTTTTTGCCAATAGGGACGCAGCCTTCTACGAGAGGGGTATAATGAGGTTGGCATCTCTTTGGCAACAAGTTTACGAACAAAACGGCGCATACTTGACTAAAATCGTACAAATGTACAGAAAGTTATCATATTTTGAAAAATTAAAAAAAAAACCGAACAAACTTTTTACTTGTCATAATGTATGCAGTGCTGGTTAATAAAAGTGGCATAACAATATAATTTACAAAAAATATACTCAATTGGTGTAGAAAAATTGTAAGTTATTTATTTTTTTTTACTTTCATTTTTTTATAATTTATTTTATTTCATTTTACACGAAAGCTTACCAGCGACTTAGTCTTTATGAATTTGGAAACTGACATTAATTTAAGAACATTTAATTGGCTTTTTAAGATATTTAATTTAATAATAAATAGCATTATATGATAATTACATAGCGCAACAAAAATGAGAGTTGGCTGCTTCCCATACTTCATAAGTAAATTCTTACTACGAATATGACAAAGAGAAGAATTTATTAGCTTCAAGTTTTTTAGTATATACATAAATGTAGATAATTATTGTTTCTAAGAAAATGATAAAATGTAAATAACATTTTTATTTTGATTAAAATTTATGTAATTTAGTTAAATTTAATTTAATTGTATTAGGCTATTTATTTTATTTTATTTTATTTTATTTTCTATATTTATTTTATGATATTTATTTATTTTGTTTTATGATTTTACTATATATCATTTTTTTCATTTTGAATTTTTATTTTATATTTTTGGGTAATTTTAATATTTTCCATTTCATTATATTTTACTTTCGCTTTTTATTTTGTTGTTATTGTAATTAATTAATTTAGTTTTTTTTATTTTAATTAATTTTTCCTCATTTCAATTTGTTCTGTTTGATTTTACCTTCTTTGTTTTTTCTTTTAATTAATGTTATTTTTTCATTTTCATATCAACATTTTTTTTAATTTTCCCAAAAAAGCAACATTTTATAGGGGAATAACTCAGATCAAATGCGAAAGAATTTCTAGATATGCACTTGTATATTGTAAGTTTTAGATTATGTGATTAAAATATAAATGCGATCCACTCCCTGCATTATTTATAATTTAATTTCATTTTTTTATGGTCAATGAGTATGTATGCGAAAGTATTTAAGAAATATTTCCATAACAGGCACGTCATCTAGCAAGATCAACATTTATTTGTGTGCTAGTAATCTCGCAAATATATATGCTTGTATGTAAATATATACTTTTATTTATATAGTCACGCATTTAGCATTTCTATGGCGGCGTGAATTACCGGAAAAATATAAGAGTAAATAATCAAAGAGTGCAAATAATATATTTATCAACAAATCATAGATCTTTAAGTTCATCAGTTAAATATATATAAAAAAAAAATTCAATGTTAAATAGAAATCCCCCAATGAGTAATAACAACAATAATAAACAATTGTCAAGAATTGCAAATAAAAAAGTAATAAAAAAGCGAATTCAAAATATTGTGAAAAAATTTAAATGTCTTTGCTCTCCCATATTTATTTCGAAAAGGAGAACTCACCACAGCTGTGAAGAGTATTTTGCGCTGCTAATAATTCAGCTCAAAACAAAACTTCGATTACTAACTAAATAATAATAATAATGAAAACTATTGTAAAGAGTGAAGAAATTTTAGACAAAAAAAATTAAAAGCTACATGAATTAAATAAAGCCAAAGCGTCACATTGAATTACTAAGAGACATTATAGAAAATTTATTTACTGTATAAATTTTCTTATTTATTTTGTAAATAGTCTAAGTCAAGTGCTCAATTGTCATAAAAAATATATAATGAAGGAGAATCATCTTCACACACACCTAACAGCAGCGAGGATCAGCTTATCAACTCAATCACTGAGTTCACTAACGAAAACATGCAATACCGTTTTCAAATAACCGTACTCATTGCTGTGTGTGCATATGCTTTAAGGCGGCTTTCGTTATATATATTTTCTGTTGTTGTTGTTGTTTTGTTAGTATGAGTACATAAACAAACTCTCACGACACCAACAACACCCTCGTCTCAACCAGGCGTACAACGATCACGATCGTGATCATTATCATCAACTCACACACATACACGCAAACCACACAATCGCACGTGCCGACTGTTTAACGAACGTTCACAGCTTCGTCTTCAACTTGGCTAACTAACTAAGTTCGTGGTGAAAATGCAACGAATGGAGTTCGACAAAGCTTAACGTTGATTTGAGCTGAGCTAAGCGGCGTCGTGTTGTTGTTGTAGTCGCGCAACTTAGCCGCTGCGTTAAGATGTTAAAGCTTTGTGCTAAGCGTTTTGCGGCAACAACTAGCAACTAGCAACCAGTTAAGCAGCATGCAAGCATGCAGTAAGCGCCGTGACGCTTGTGATCGCTGTTCGCTGTTCGCTGTCGCAGCCTGACTGCTTGACTGCGCTGTAGTACGTCGTACTTGGGGTTTGGAAATTTGAACAAAACCTACTGACAACTGGCGCGGTCCATTCAAGCGAGCTTTTCATTTCATCGTGATAACTTCAAAACGAGATACGCTCGCGCGCGCGCCCAGCTTGAGCACGCATAGACGCAGAGATCGGTTGGATGGCAAAGAAGACACTGCGTATCACACGGAAAATACAAAATAATACATGAAAAAATTATGTCAAGTAAAAAAATTAAAAATTAAAATTTAAAAAATTAAAAAGAAAAAAATTCAAAAATATAAAGTGAAAGATATTAAATGAATTTTATAATTATATTTTTTGATTGATAAATTATTGAAAAAGTGAAATGACGAAAACAGAAAAATTAGTGTTTTATTAAAATAAAAAATTTAGTGTTACACAAAAGTTCGTTAAGTATAAAGGATATGCGTTCATAGCAAAAGTTGTTGAATTCATTTTAACGGTAAAGATAATTTAAAAAGTGTTCCAAACGTTCCAAAATCAGTTCTTTTTAATAGGATTATATTGAAACAAATTAAATTAAATATGAATACTATTTAAAGCATATTGAGTTGCATTTGTGAAAGAAGAAATACATCATTATTTGAAATTGTCGTGATTTGTTTTATCATCGAAAAATTTGTGAATATTTTGCAAAAAAAAAAAATTTAAAGTGCATTAAATAATGTTCAAGTGCATGTGAAGAAAATTACATAGAAAAACGCAAACTTTTCACCGAAAAACGCTTGCGGATTGGGCGTGGTCGTGCGGAAAGTGTGTTGGCGCTGAATTATTGGATTTTGCTTAAAACTTTTATGTGAGTGTGAATATTTTATTTATTTATTTTTTTTAATAATTATTTAGTTTTAACAAAGACATTCTAAATTTTTTTATTTATAATAATTATAATACAAATATAATTAAATTTAAGAAATGAAATAATAAAAACTCAAAAGTTTTAATACAGATATTTATAAACTATTTTTATTTAATTTAAGCACTTTGATGGATATTTTAAAGCACATTTTAATTTTAGTTAAATTTTTAATTTTGAACAAAAAAGCAAAGTTTAAATTCTTAAAAGTTTTTAATGTAAAAATTATGCAGAATATAAATTCTATTCATGTGCACTGTTAACAAGTAATAATTTTAGAACATATTTTTTTCACTTTGAGTTTGAGATTGCTATGGACTGAGTAATTTCAACAAATATTTGTTTAGTTTTCAAGTCCCATTTCACAATATAAAAACAAAATTAATAATTAATTTATACTTTTATTAATTAGTTACTCAATCAGTAAGCAAAAGCTCTTTTCAGTAGGGAACTTTTCATAAAAACTTTTTTTTACATAAAAAGTTTAACTTTTGAAATTAAATAAATTCTTTAAATTTTTTTTTGCTTTATTTCATCTACTCTAATCCAATTTAATTTCCCTGGTTATAATTATTATTTCTATATTTATTATTGACTATTATTATTGTATTTTACATTAATATAGTTGTTGAGGTTATTATTACTATTATTGCTTTTGTTATTTTGTCATATTTTATTTTACATAAAGTTATTTCAGTATAGTTTATTTTTTAATTAATTTTTTTGTTCTATTTGGTTTAGTTGTCCTTAATTTTTTTTTTTATTTTGTTGCTACCACCACGTTTTTCTCAGCAGACTTCTTTTCTAGAAACCCTTATTCAAATTGAATTTTAATTGGAACTCTCCAAACACAAATCAATGACTATATCATTAGGCTAACTTCTTCCTTTTCCGTTTTCTATAATTTTTTGTACATTTAACTTTATTTAATTTTATGCTATGTTATTTTTTCACTCGTTTTATTAAGTATATTTTAGTGCTTTCATTTTTACTTTATTTTTATATTATTTATGTTAATTACATATTAATTGATTAGTAAATAATTAAATTAATTGCTACATTTCACTTTTTAGTTCTTTAATTTTACTTTATTTTATTTTTTTTTTATTTTATTTTATTTTATTTTATTTTATTTTATATTATTTTATTTTAATTTAGTTTATTTTATTTTATTTTGCTTGTTATATATTTTTAATTTCATTTTTCCTTTTTTTTATTATTGTTATTTATTCCACTTCTTTTGGTTAATTTATTTTATTTTATTTTATTTTATTTTATTTGGTTTTAAGAAAGGTTATTTTATTTTAGTTTATCTTTTTTCATTTTATTAAAGTTTCTTTTATTTATTTAATTTTTGAATTAACTTTTTTAATTCTATTTTGTTTTATTATTATTATATGTTATTATTTCATTTCGTTTTCTTTAATTTAATTTCTTTTATATCATTTTAATTGAATTGATTTTATTTGATTTCTTTGCGTTTTATATAATCAATTTCCATATTTTTTGATTATTTTAATTTAACTGACGTTTTTTTTTATTTTATTTGATTATCAATTTTTTAATTTAATTTACTCTTTCATATTTTTTTAATTTAGTATATTTTAATTTAGGTTATTTTATTTTAAATAATTTTGTTTTGCTTAATTTTTTTAAATAATTATATTTTGTTTTTTTTTTTATTTGCTGTTTTATGCTTTTATATTTTATTTTATTTTAATTTGATTTCTTTTATTTCATTTTTATTTATTTTTTTAGCTTATGTTTTTTGCATTTTTTTTTAATTTCCATATTTTGTGAATATTTTAATTTAACTGTTGTTTGCTATTTTGTTTTATATTATTATATTTTCATTTTATTTTTTGGAGCTCATTAATTTTTTTATTTCACTCTTTTTAATTTTTTTAATGTCAATTTATTTGTTTATTTTATGCCATTTCGGTATTTTATTTTTTAATTTTTTTTATTTTAGCTTGTTTATTTCTTTTTTAGTTCATTAGATTCATTTTGAATCAATTTTATTTAATATTTAATTACTTTATTTTAAAATTTTTTTTTAGTTTATCTAAAATAATATAATTTACTTTTATTTAATATTATATTAATTGATTTTATTTTTTCATAATTTGGCATAATTTCTCATTTTATTTTATTTTTTATTTCATTTTTTGTTTTGTTTCATTTATTATTATCATTATTCCGAAAATACTTGACCTTTATGCAAAACCAAAGATATTTAAATTAATTTACAAATTCAAAATAGGTACAATGAATTTATTAAGGAAATATTCAGACACATAATATAAAAATGACAATTCTATCTTGAACTAAAACTTCAAACGAAACGAACTTATCATAAATTTCGTATAACTTGAAATTTTAATCTATACAAATATTTGATAAAAATATGACAAAAGTGAAGAGGAAAAAATGCCGGAAATGATATACCCTAAAATGCATATTTGAATTACTGAAACAAAAATCAACTTTAATTTTTCGCAGGAACAAACTTGAAATTCATACATAAATATGCAATTTTAAAGTAACTCAATTCAAAAAAAAAAAAAAAATTGCGCTGAATTTTTTTTCAGCGTCTAAAAGCAAAAAAACTTACGTTGATAAGCAGCAAATCAGCAAAAAGCACCAACGACAGAGCTTAATCACTTATTGCAAAAATCGAAACGAATGAAAAACAGCAACAAACTAGCGAGCAATTAATTGATCAAGCAGCGAGCAACGGCTCATACGACGGCGGCCGGTCGTCGTGCGATATCACCATAAATTAGGCATATTTCGCAAATTTCGTAGTAACAAGCAAAAAGTGGGGGCAAAATAGTAAAAGCACAAAAGAAAAGCTTAACTAAAATCCAAACAATCAAACAAAATCGCCAAAGCATCAGCAACAGCAACAACAACTACGGGTATAACTATAGACAATATAAAATATTGTATCAGACGGTATTCGCCGTGTAGTGTCCAGCGGCCAGCGTAAAACGCCAATCGTCAATCGTTGAATCAGTGTTTGTGTTCATTTCGAGAATTAGCTAAGCAGCGTAGACCTGGTTTTTGCTGTACGAGTATTTGTGATTTGTTTTTATGTGCCAACTCTTCAATTTACATTGCCGGCCACATGAGTACGCAAATGACAATAACAAAAACAGTAGCATAATTAACAAATGGCCAACGCAGCGCAGCACCGCAGCGTTAGCTTGTTAAAGTGGCTGTGAAAGAAGCTGAAATTGGCTGCAACGAATTGGCAAAATCGCGTTAATCAGCTGCTTCTTCTGCTTCTTTCGTGCCTTTTGAATGATTTTTGTTGCGGGCTTTTTTCGCATGGTGGCTTTGCATGTGTTTGATGCTAACTTTTTGTGTCATTACTTTTGCTGCGTACTGCATTTTTATGCAAAAATTTATTTAATTTGAATATATGAATATTTTGTAAAAAAAAAACAATAATAATAAAGTATTGATAAATGTATTTAATTTTTTATTTAAAAAAAAAAAAATTAACGCTATCATTTGTATTATTTACGGTATTGCCTTGGACTGTTAAACTTTTTTCTATATTTAGAAATAAATTTAAGTTAACTTTTCAGATTTGCACATGATTTGTTTACATACCTGACAAAAAAAAAAGAAAAGATTTGATTGATAATTTTATATTTTTTTTTTAAATTCCGCTTTGCTTATTATAAGTTCGAAAATAGTAAATACTTTTAAAAAGAATATTTTTATTCCAAATATTTGGGTTTTTGCGTGAACATGGGTGCTATGGGAACGCAAATCAACATCTTTAATAATTTTTTGAACAAAATCAGTATATATTAATAAGAAATTTTTCGACTTAGAGCAAGCCAAAAAAATACATAATTTTGAAAAAAGAAATTTGAAAGCACAATATATTTTGTTTACTGTTCTTTTTCTTCCTTGACTTGCATTTCTTACGGATTATTTGTTTTTTTTTTTCATTCAATTAAATTTCATTTTAGCAAATGTTAAACGGCCAAAACTATTGTTGTTTTACAATTGACATTTCCTATAAGTAAATAAAACAATCAAAAAATAAAGTTTTAATATACTTACATTAGTGCGTTCATCATTCATATACCATGTATTTAACTATATATGTATTTGCATATATTTTTATGTGTCTCACCTTTTGCCATTTTTCAACATTTAATTTTTCATCTTTCCAAAAAAATTCCACTTTTACACACTCACTTTGAATTATTCGCCTATCACACACACATACGCGCGCAAGACAAATGATTTTTGGCAATTTTTAGTTAGTGTTGGTTTGCAACTTTTGTTGTTAGACAGCTACCGCCCGTTGTCAATTAGTTAGTTGTTGTTGTTATTGTCGTTTTAGCTGCGCTTATGCAGACAGCTTGCTATGAATTTACATAATTAAATCGATTGCAAATAACATACATACATGGTAATATTTAGATTGTTGTTGTTTTTTGTTGTTGTTGTAAGCGCTGGTGTTTCGCGATTAGCAACAGTTGCAGAGTAATGTCAATATTGTTGTTATTGTATGCTAACATACTTAGAAACACATGTTTTTTTTTTTTTGTTATTTTACAATAATATTGCTACTTTGTTGTTATAGTGCTTTCGATTTTGACATTTGACTTGACGCTTTTTAAAACGCCAAAGGGTATATACGGACACACATGATGTGTACATACATACATATGTATGTGAGTGAGCGCATAACATCAATGAAGTTATGCATAGTACATATATACATATATATATGTATGTAAGCGCCTTTGAACTGAAATTTTTGCCAAATTTTATGTGCTCCCTTTATCTTTTATTGTTTTTATAGTTTTAGTTTTTTTTTGTCTTACCTGTTACTTGGAGGCTGCTCGTTTGACAAAAGCAACGATTCGTTGCACTTTTAATTTTTCATATTCGTTAAGAGTTGTGCTTTGGTA